TATATCGAAAAAAATATACCCATATTTTTTTATTTTGAAATCAAAAAATATTTAGGGAGTGGCGGCATTAAAAATTCGACCTTATTTTTTTACATACATTTTTGGACCACTTTAATGCACAGTTTCGGTTAAAACCGAAATAATGTCTAAATGCACAGTTTCCATATGCGCAATTTCGGTGCCCCATTGGTAAAGTGGTTAGACGAAGCCTTCACGCATAGAGATTATGCAGTAGAGGCCTTACTCTATATCGAGGGGGCCTTCAACAATGTCACTGCAGAGGCAATAGTCAAGTCTATTCACAATCTGGGGTTGAAATCAACCTGTCGTGGCGGAGAACTGTCCGCAAGGTGGTGTTCTCTCTCCCTTGCTCTGGATTTCGGTTGTAAACAACCTTCTAGAGGAACTGGAAAAGTTGACTGTCGGGTGATCACCTATGTAAACGATGTGGAGCAAGTCGGAACTGGTATTGTTTACCAGAAAGTACAAGATACCAATTGTGGCCCTTCCCTCGAGTGGTGGTGTTTGTCGGTGACTCTCAGACAGGGTGAAGTACTTAGGCTTGATCCTGAACAGGAAGCTGTGGTGAAAGCCTAACATTGAGGAAAGGGTAAGAAAGGCGTCGGGTGCCTTGTATTGCTGTAGGGGATCTATCGGTAAAAGGTGGAGCATTAGAAACCACACCTGGCGCTTAAAGTTTTGTTGAACACGGCCCCTGCGGATATTGCAGGCAGAATTATCGCAACACGAACTGCTCTTAGAATCAGGGAAACCGGGAAGTAAAACTCTGCAGATGTGGAGAGCTTTGACTTCGTCCTGAATACATATATTACTGTGACACCGAAATTGCTCTCAGAAGCTCCTCCTCTACCTATATTCCCTCAGGAGAGGCCTGGGTAGGGTAGGGTTCCTCGAAGAAGGGAGCATTAAACTTCTTCACGGACGGATCAAAACTGGGGAACAGGGCTGGTTGACGTTTCTTCTGCCTGAAACTCTCCACAAAACTATGTTCAGGCTTCCGGACTTTTAGTTTCAGGTGGAAACATCTGTCTTTCAGGTGGAAACATCTACCATCAAGTAAGTGGTAGACTCACCACCCAAAAGGTGTGATTGTGCGATCGAAATCGGTAAAGGAGTCTTACCTCTCTTTCAATCGCGTCGGAGTACTTCTTAATAAGGCTAGTTAGGTGATGGGTCACAGTGACGTCGCCGCGTGGCTGATGTCCTGGCCTTGGAAAGGCACCCTTAAAATATTATTCCCAGATAAGGAGCAACAAGGGACTCCTCTGTCCTCCTGCGGTACACCCTTGGGCCTAGTGTTTGCTCAGCAAGCGCTAAACTAACACGCATACTTCGTACTCCCATTACCTCTCAAGGGCTAATGATGGGGGTTCTGACAGGTCATAGAGCGGTAAGAGTAGGAATTTCAACTGATATTTTTTGTATCAGCTATCAAGAAGAAGATGACCTGGAATCATCTCCACACTTTCTTTTAGACTGTCCAACCTTCGCGAGGCTAAGATGGAAGTATTTTGGCTCGCACTTCTTAACAAGCTCTGAGCTCTCAGGGATCGAAATTAGCCGCATTCGAAATTTGGTAATCAGCTCGCGGCGTTTCGCCTACTAAATTAATGGTCTCCGTTCAGTTTTTTCGTGGTATCACAAAGGACAATCTCTTAATTGTCCAAGTGTGTCACTTGCCTGGGGCAACCACTTTAACCTAACACAACCTAACATGTACTTCTTTGAGCTATGAAATAGTTGGTCACATTTCGTATGTACCATATATTAGAACTTATCAGAAAAGTAACATTTATACATATACAACTACATATCGTGTAAGAGCGCTATAAGTAAAACACGTTTTCAATATTGTGGCGAATACTGCGGCAACGCGAAGCGAACAACGAGAAAATGGCAGTATGTTCGAGGAATGACGTAGAATGTTCGACAGTGAGAAACGCCAAGTGGATGAATTCTGTGAACA